TACCAGGCCCTCCTGCCTCTTCCCTGCGGACAAACTTGCATTTCCTCTCTGGACTCGGGCAGCCACGTTCCTTCTTCCTTGACCCCTCCATCCACGGCCTGTCGCGCCACGCTCTGTCTCAAGTCCTTGTTTGGCAGAAGTCCGGGTCCTTTCAGAAGTTTGCTTCTGGGGCGGAGGAGAGATAGAGCATCGGGCGCGTCAGCCAGGGCATGGGCGAGAGATGCCCCTAATTATTTCTGAGTCACGGTGCTTCCGTTCTGTTTGGGAGAGTGGCTCGTCAAAACACCGCCCGCCCGATGGAGATGGTTCCTAAGGGTGGCTTTACAGCCGGTCCCCACACGTCATTTTTAGGAGCAGAAATTGTGAAGCATGTTGACAGCTTAGCTTTGCACGTTGTCAACATCTCTTCATCACCCCTGAGAGGCGCTAAAGCCCGGCCTCCTCCCTCAGGCAGTCCCAGGTGTCTAGGAGCGCTCGCGCCCCCAGACGTGTCCCCGGCCCTCCCGGCCTCCAGACACAGCGGGCGATCCCCGGGGGCAGTGAGCAGGGCAGACGGCTCGCCCCCATCTCCATGCTGGCACTCACTTGTCCCCGGGGGTGGCAGGACCCCTGCCCACATCTAGTCCCGTGCCCCTAGACTTAGGAGGGGGCACTATTGCTCATGCTGGGGCTTCTCGCTGGAACTGTTCCGGGGTCCTGGAGTCACCCTGGTGGTTCTACAGACTCAGACGAGGCGCCTCTGGCTGGCAGGACAGGTGTCAGGCCCCAGGGCCGGAGGGTGGTCGGGACAGCTGCACTGCCTCCTCCCGGCCCGCCTGGCAGTGTTCCCAGTGAGGGATCCGACGTGGCTCGGGCTGACCAGCCTCTCCTCAGGCGGCGGACACATCAAAGAGGTCATCGTGGCTGCCGAGGCAGAGCCGGGGGACGGCGAGATGGCAGAAGCCCCGGGCAGCCCTGGCCGTCGGGGGCCTGTGCTCGGCGGGGAGGGCGAGCAGGCGCAGGTGAAGCTGCTGGTGAATGAGGACGGCCGCTACGTGTGTGTGCTGTGCCACAAGACCTTCAAGACGGTGGGCCCCGGGGCTGCGTGCGGGGGGGCCGCCTCCCCCTCCTGCCCCAGCGGCGCCTGAGCCCCACTGTCCCCTCCCCCCCCAGGGCAGCATCCTCAAGGCCCACATGGTGACCCACAGTAGCCGCAAGGACCACGAGTGCAAGCTGTGTGGGGCCTCCTTCCGGACCAAGGGCTCACTCATCCGGCACCACCGGCGGCACACGGGTGAGCCAGGCGGGGACACGGGGCCGTGAGGCTGTGGCTCTGGGCCCGCCTTCCCTGGGGCCGCTGGCCCTGCCTGGAGCCGACTCAGTTCTCTCCACAGATGAGCGCCCCTATAAGTGTGCCAAGTGTGGGAAGAGCTTCCGGGAGTCGGGCGCGCTGACCCGGCACCTCAAGTCTCTCACCCCGTGCACAGAGAAAATCCGCTTCAGCATGAGCAAGGATGTGCTTGTCAGCAAGGAGGACGCGCCCGCAGCCCAGCGAGGTAGGGACCCCCTGCCCTGACCATGGGCACTGGCCTGGGGGCCACCCTGCTGGGCGGGCTTTTTCAAAGTTCTTTGGCTTCTGCCTTGAAGGGTCTGGCTCCTCCACCATGGGGACGGTCCCATCTTCATCAGTGTCGGGAGAACCTATGGAGACCTCGCCTGTGATTCACCTGGTGACAGATGCCAAGGGCACGGTCATCCATGAAGTCCACGTCCAGATGCAAGAGCTGCCCCTGGGCATGAAAGGCCTGGCTGCAGAGGTGCGGGCCAGCCCGGGGAGTGGCCTCTGTCTGCCCACTGCCAGGCTCTGTTCTGGTGACTGGCTCCAGTGGGAACAGGACCGACCCGGCCTGCCTTCCTCGTGCTCAGTCTGGAGGCGGGACCCCAGTGGCCAGAGGACAGCGAGGGGCAAGGGACAGGAAGACTGAGGGTGGGGAGCGCGGGCTGTGGGGCTCCTTGAAGCGCTCTTCTGGGTACGCACAGTTTCCCCTGGGCCCCGCAGGGTCTGTCCTGTGCAGTGGCTACAAGTGGGGACCGTGTGCCCACAGCCCCCGGGCCCCGAGGAGCTTCCCTGTTCCAGCGAGAGTGGCCGTGAGAACCTGCTGCACCAGGCCATGCAGAACTCGGGCATTGTCCTTGAGCGTGTCACGGGAGAGGAGGGGGCCCTGGAGCCAGCCCCTCCCGCCGCACCCAGTCCCCAGACCCTGGGAGACGGTGCCCCAGAGCTGCCACTGCTGGAGGTGGAGCCCGTGGAGACAGTAGGTGCCTGCGCTGCCGGCGTACTTCGGGGGGGGCTGGACCCCGGCTACAAGGTCACCGGCCCAGCCCAGCGGCCGCCTCCCTGCTGTGTTCCCTGTGGTGGAAAAATCGAGCCCCTTCTGCAGGGACTTTGTTCCCTGTTCACTGCCTTCCCGGGGCTCATGATGGAGCTTGTGGGACGGGGGGGGGGGGTTGCCATGGGTCTGTTCTCCTCGGTACTGCTGGGGTCCCACCCGTGGTGGGTGCTGGAAGCGTGCTGTGGCCACCCCCCACCCCCAGCAGGTGGCCAGTGGGGCCTCCACTGTGCCCAGGACCCACCCGTGCCCTCAGTGCAGTGAGACCTTCCCGACGGCGGCCACCCTGGAAGCCCACAAAAGGGGCCATGCAGGTGGGTGTCGGGGTGGGGGATGGGGGGTGGCAGGGGTGCGGCACTGGCAGCAGATGGGCCTTGGGTGTACAGTGGGCGGCGAGGTTGGTCCCTGGGTGGTCAGCAGGCCGGGGGCCCTCGAGGGGCAGCCCTGGCCTGACCTCGCCTGCAACCCCAGGGCCAAGGCCATTCACGTGCGTGCAGTGCGGCAAGGCCTTCCCCAAGGCCTACCTGCTCAAGAAGCACCAGGAGGTCCATGTGCGTGAGCGCCGCTTCCGCTGTGGAGACTGTGGGAAGCTCTACAAGACCATCGCCCATGTCCGTGGCCACCGGCGTGTCCACTCTGACGAGCGGCCCTACCCGTGTCCCGAGTGTGGCAAGTGCTACAAGACCAAGGTGGGACCCTGGCGCCTGACCCCCGTGATCCGCGGGCTTCCCTGTCCTGGGCCAGATCCCAGTGCCCCCTTCCCCACGCAGCCCCTCGCCCCTCCCGCCCGGCCTGGGCCCTTTCCCTCAGCCCGTGGCGGGGGTGGGAGAGCCACATACTGAGCCGCGGCCGAGGCCAGGTGGGTGCTGACGGTGGGGCCCCACAGAACGCCCAGCAGGTGCACTTCCGGACGCACCTGGAGGAGAAGCCGCACGTGTGCCCATTCTGCAGCAGAGGCTTCCGGGAGAAGGGCTCCCTGGTGCGGCACGTGCGGCACCACACGGGGGAGAAGCCGTTCAAGTGTTACAGGTGTGGCCGCGGCTTCGCCGAGCACGGCACGCTCAACCGGCACCTGCGCACCAAAGGTCAGGGCCGCTGGGCAGCGGCGGTGGGGGGGTGGGGGTGGCCGGGAGGGCCACAGCACTGCTGACCAAGCCCCCCGCCTCCAGGGGGCTGCCTGCTGGAGGTGGAGGAGCTGCTGGTGTCCGAGGAGAGCCCCACGGCAGCCGCCACCGTGCTCGCCGAGGACCCGCACACCGTGCTGGTGGAGTTCTCGTCCGTGGTGGCGGACACCCAGGAGTACATCATCGAGGTGGGTATGGGGCCGCTGGGGTGGGGCTGGGGCTCGGAGCTGCCAGGCTGACCTCTGTCCCCCGTCCAGGCCGCCGCGGATGATGCAGAGACCCATGAAGCCGCGGAGATCATCGAGGGCACCCAGACGGAGGTGGGGGCCAGGGGAAGGGCTGGAGGGGGTGGCCTGGCGCCTGCCCCACAGCCACCTGCTGAGCCGCCTGCCGCCGCAGGTGGACAGCCACATCATGAAGGTGGTGCAGCAAATCGTGCACCAGGCCAGCGCCGGGCACCAGATCATCGTGCAGAATGTGACCATGGACCAGGAGGCAGGGCTGGGCCCAGAGGCGGCTGCGGCCGACACCATCACCATTGCTACACCCGAGAGCCTGACAGAGCAGGTGGCCATGACGCTGGCCTCGGCCATCAGCGAGGGCACTGTGCTCACGGCCCGTGCGGGCGCCACTGGCACCGAGCAGGCCACTGTGACTATGGTTTCATCAGAGGACATTGAGATCCTGGAGCACGCAGGCGAGCTGGTCATCGCGTCACCGGAGGGCCAGCTCGAGGTGCAAACGGTTATCGTCTAGCACGGCGGCCCGCAGGCTCCTGAGCCGGGGCAGGGGCAAGGAGCCACAGAAGAGGGGGCATAGAATTCAGGTGTTCAGAGCGGGCGTGGGAGTGTAAATAGTTTTTTGTTGCTTTACAATAAAACACGAAAACCTGCCACTTGTGATGCCATTGCCCAGGCAGCTTCCCCTGGGGGCTCCCGCCTGCCCTCCCCCTTTAGACTCAGGCGCCTGGCCAACACTCCCAGGGTTGGCACTGGAGCTAGGGCGCCACGGGGTGCGTGGGTGTCCCTGGCATGTGGACGGGCAGCCTGCTGCCGCCGCCCTGCCTGGCTGGAGTCATGACCCTGTCTTCCCCAGCCCTGTGGAGGTGGGCGGAAGGGGGTGATGCTTCATAGCCTCCAACCATGGGGCTGTTTGGGGTGCATGGGCAGGGGACCAGGCTGGGAGGCCCGGGAGCCATGACCTTTTATCCAGAGGTGACAACGAAGAAGCAGCAGGAGACCCACCAGGAAGGTCTTTAATGAATGGACTGCCTGCTCTCAGGGGGCACCCCTGAGGGAGAGAGATTCTGGGTGACCTAGTTGGGGGCGGGGGGTGCGTGGACAAGAACAAGGGCTGGACCCTGGGTGGCCGGCCCTCTCGTCCAGTCTGGACACAGTTCCGCAGAGCCGGCAGGGTCATCAGGGTCCTGCTTCTGACAGTCTTCGTGCCAGCGCGGCTCAGGGTGGGTCCCCTGCCACCTTGCCCCCAGGGCTCTCCCCGGGAACTGGAACCAGCAGTTCCAGCGTCCATCTCTGCAGAGGGGGTGGGGCCAGAGCAGTCTAGCCCCTCCCTGGACAAGGGCCTCAAATACCCGCCTGGGCCCTGGCCTACAATCCCTGCCCGACCAAACCCGAGGCGTCGGTCTCCTGCCACAGACACACCCCCAGCTTGGATCTCCGACCTTGATCCTGAGCCTCAAATACCACCCCATCCACATCCCAGGTGAGTCCGGGGACTGGGCTGACCAGGAGCCTGGATGGGGGTGGGATCTCTCTATTGGAGCCTCAGTTTCCCCAAGGAGTAGAATGGCCGTGGTAAACCTAGCACACCACTGGGGAGAGGTGGAGAGGCAGGAGAAGGATCCTCCTTGGACCTCTGAATCACAGGTCCTTGCCGGTCCCCCAGGGCTGGGGCACAGAAGGGTAGTTCGGTGTGTCTGACTTCAGGTCCACGCTCAGGAGCGCATCTGTCCCTCCCAGCCCACCTGCTCTCCGGGATGGGTGGGCCCCAGGTCCTACTGGCCGCGCTCTGGGCCCTGGGGGCCGCAGCGGCCGCCGCGCTGCGCATCGGAGCTTTCAACATCCAGAGCTTTGGTGACAGCAAAGTGACGGACCCAGCCTGCGGCACAATCATTGCACAAGTGAGGCCAGGGACCGGGGGTGGGGCAGCAGCTGGGCCTCCCAGGAGAATCCACCGCGCGTGACTCCGCGCCTGCCCGTCCCTCCCCCAGATCCTGGCTGGCTATGACATCACGCTGGTGCAGGAGGTGCGAGACCCAGACCTGAGCGCTGTGTCCGCTCTCATGGAGCAGATCAACAGGTGTGGGAAGGAGGGGCGGGTGGAGAGTGCCCAGCGTTTGGAGTCCAGGCCCGGATCCGGGACCGGCCCTGTGCCTTGACCCCGCGCCTGGCCCATGTCTCTGCAGCGTGTCCAAGCACAAGTACAGCTTTGTGAGCAGCGAGCCCCTGGGTCGGGACCAGTACAAGGAAATGTACCTGTTTGTTTACAGGTGAGGGGCGGGGCCCAGGCACGCGGGGCGGGAGGGGCCGGCTCAACGCGCCCACCAGCCTCCTTCCCCCAGGAAGGACGCGGTGTCGGTGGTGGACACGTACCAGTACCCGGACCCGGAGGACGCCTTCAGCCGTGAACCGTTCGTGGTCAAGTTCTCTGTCCCCGGCTGGGGTGAGGCCCCCTCCTCCCCGGGAAACCCCGCCCCCGCGGCGCCCCCGCCGCCCCACCCCCGCCCCGCCTCTGACCTGTGTCTCCCGCAGCTGCCGGGGAGTTGGTGCTCATCCCGTTGCACGCGGCGCCGCATCGGGCCGTGGCGGAGATCGATGCTCTCTACGACGTGTACCTGGACGTGATTGACAAATGGGGCACGGACGTAAGGCCCGCCCCCGCCCCTGTGCGCACCAGCGGGGGGAGGGGTTGCGGTGCGGGGAGGGTGCGCGAGTGCGGGAGGGGGCTGCGCGGGGAGGGTGCGGGGCGCGCGTGGGCTCAACCCTGGCTCCGCGGTCCCCGCAGGACTTACTGTTCCTGGGCGACTTCAACGCCGACTGCAACTACGTGCGGGAGCGCGACTGGCCGTCCGTCCGCCTGCGCAGCAGCGAGGTCTTCAAGTGGCTCATCCCCGACAGCGCCGACACCACCGTGGGCAACTCGGACTGCGCCTACGACCGCATCGTGGCGTGCGGCGCCCGCCTGCGCAGGAGCCTCAAGCCCCAGTCGGCCGCCGTGCACAACTTCCAGGAGGAGTTCGGCCTGGACCAGGCTCAGGTGAGCGCTGGGGGTGGGGTGGAGGGGCAGATGGGCGGGTGCCTGTCGGAGGGCAGGGGCGCGCCCCTCCCTGCACCAGCGCCCCAGAATACAGAGTCCTTAAGAGGCTCAGTTCTGGCTGAAGGGACCGTCTGGGATGACAGAAGATGCCCTTGCCTCTTCTCGGGGGGGGGGGGGGGGGGGGGGGGGGGGGGGGGGTGGTCTCCAGTCTAGGCCCCAGCCCACCTGCGGGCAACACAGTGGGCTCCATCCCTGGCCAGCATGGGGTGTGGACAGTGGAGGCGGTGAGGGGGGCGCTCATTTTCCTAGGTGGGGCCCGAGGGAGGGCAGGCTGCCCAGCAGGGGGCTCAGGCTCCACCTTCTCTCCAGGCCCTCGCCATCAGTGACCATTTTCCTGTGGAGGTGACTCTGAAGTCGCACTGAAAACCCTCAAGGCCTGGTCCGGGAAGCGGCCTCCAGACTCAGGCCAGGAGAACAGCCCTGCAGGACTCCTTGTGGGGAGCTGGCCAGCCTCCAGCAAGGCTGAGGGCAGAGCTGGCGGGATGAGCGGCTAGGAAACATCATAGGACCACGCAGTCTGTTTGTCCATCTGTGAAATGGGCTACTCCGTCTACCTCCCAGGCTTGTGAGGAGTGGCCTGCAGAGTGCTGGGCACAGGGCAGTGCTCAATAAACTCGAGCCGGCGCTCAAACAGGACCACGTGCTGGTCGGCTTCAAGGCCTCCGTGTCCTTTCTTAGGACTCGAACCCTCTGAGGCCCAAACTTTGGTTCCACAGCCCAGTGGGCACTGGGGTCCCTGCCCCTATGGGACAGGGCCGGCCTGGCCTGGCCATTTCACTCCCTGCTGGGAACGGATGACCCCCAGACCAGGCTGGCTCCGACACGCCCGTCGCTTCCTTTCATCGCACAGACCGCAAACGCTTCCAAACATCGGCTGAGGGCGCTTGGGGTAAACACACAGCCACAGTGTTGACGTGCAAGGCCAACCTCCCAGCCCCTGGTGTCCCTCCCGCCCCCCAATCCCGGGGCCTGCAGACTTGCAGACACCTGCATATGAGGGGCCCTGTGCAGTGACGCAGGAACAGGCAGTCAGGAGCTCCTGGCGAGTAGGCAGCCCTGCGACGTGCAGGGAGCCCTTCAGTGGTGAGCAGGCTGGACTCCTCACGCAGCCCAGGCAGGGGCCACCCACACACCCCACGTGGATGCAGAGCCCCTTCATGGGGCCAGCCTGGGTAGGGTCCTTCTCAGGAGCCCTGGGCTGGGCAAGGGCTTGTCAGGGAGAACCGTGGCCAGTATCCCGGGAAGCCCGTCGCCTGGGGACTGGGAATGTGCAGAACTAGGGTACAGGGGCCCAGTGAGGCTTCTGGTTTTGGAAACAACTCCACTTGGTGGTGGGTCTGGGAAGTGGCCTGAACTGTATGGAGGAAAAACCTTTAAGAGTCTGGACAAATCTGGTGTGATCTTTCCAAAGACAGACTGTGGGTCCTGCAGCGCAGACAGACTCCCTAGGTCTGCCTTCCCTGCCCCTCACCACGCCCCCTCCCCCTAGTCTCTGGACCACTGTGCTCCCTCCGTCTCAATGGGCAGATGTGGCGGCCAAAGGGCTTTCCTCTGGGGGGTCCTCTGGGGGTCACCGGCCTAGGGGTGCGCCCCCAGCAGTCAGGCATTTGGGTAGCCAAGGATGGGATCACGCAAGGACTTTGCTCCCACTTCTGCTCTGGCAAAGGGGACGCTCAGCGGTGATTGTCACCGAGGTCCAGAATGGCCCGGCCTGCCGGTTCAGGATTCCCAAACTGAGGCCCTGCCCACCTGCCAGGCAGAAAAGGTGCTTGTGGGTGGCAGTGAGCCCTTGGGACACTGGCTACAGGGAACAGGGCCTACTGAGATGATCAGCAAACGAAGCTGGCAGCACGTTTACACTGGAAAACAGCTTGTTTAAAACCGCCCGAGGGCCCCGGGGGGCGCATCCGGCCACAAGCCCCACGCAGGCAGCCCCGCCCTTAGGTTTTCTTCTGTTTGAGCTTCTCTAAGTAGACGCGCAGGGCCTTCTGGATGGCGTCTCTGGAGATGAAGCGGACGAAGTTCTGGATGTCCGCGTCGCGCTCCTTGAGCAGGCGGTCGGCTGTGGGCTTGCGCATCAGGCTCTTGGTCAGCTGCCGGGCGTGGCCTACGGGAAAGGGCCCGAGCGTGAAGGCGCCCTCCCACACGCCGCCCTCCCACACGCCGCCCCACTCCCCTTTCCCAGAGCGCCCAGCGGAGGCAAGGCGAGCACCAGCCGCTCCCCACCTCCCCGTCAGAAGCATAGGGGGTGACCCTGCGGAAACCGCCGCTTACCCTGTTGTGCTCGCCGCCCCCCGCCCCCCCATAACACAGGGGTACCTTCCACATCACTAAGTACTCGTTCTCCGCATGGTTGGGTCAGCGAGCCTGGCCCCCCACAGGGAGCTAAGAATGGTTTTTACATTGTTTTGGAATTGAAAAAAGGACGTTTTGTGGCACGTGAAAATGATACGCACTTTAAGCATCAGCGGCCTGTTTCATTGCAAAGAGACGCGCTTGCTGGGTCACAAACTCTTTGGATGCCCTTGGGCTCCAGCATCACGGCATGGCTGTGACCGAGGGACCCACAGGGCCAGCCATCTCACCCCTGGTCTCCATCAGAGCGGATACAACCAGCCTGGTTCCTACCGACAGACACGTAGCCCGTCTCCGACAGCCTGTGCAGCGGGTTGAAGGGTGAACCTAACCAGCGCCCTAGAGTCTGTGCACGGGACCTTATTTGGAAAAGGGTTTCTGTGGATGAAGTCAGGGTGGGCCCCACATCCAACAACAGTGTCCTGACCAGAGAGGGGAAGAGGGGAGACCGGAGACACAGACATGCGGGGAGGCCACGTGGAGGGAAAGCGACTGGCACGATGCAGCGACAGGCCGAGGAGTGTCTGGAGCCGCCAGTCTGGATGCGGCGGGAAGGAGCCTTCCCTACAGCCCGACCGCCCTGCCCGAACCTGGATTTTAGACTCCTGGCCTGCAGACTTGGAGGGAACGCACCACAGGGTTCTACGCACCTCCCCACTCCCCCGCGTTTCCCGCTGTGTGCTGATTTGACCCGGTGGCCGCAGGACTAAGTTGGTCTGCGTCACAGACGCACGTTTCTGACGTGCACACGACCCCCTTCCAGCAGAAGCCCCTGCTCTCACCAGGAGCCCCAGGCTGGGGGGCTGCTGGCTTTGCCCGCCCGCCCGCCGAACCAGCCCCTCCCTGAGCTCCTCACCGGGGATGGCCAGCCACTGGGCCAGCTCCGACCGCGCCGCGCTCAGCACCTGGTCTTCGGGCACGACCTTGTCCACCATGCCCACCTGGAGCGCCTCGGCGGGCGGGAAGAGCAGGCCCAGCTGCAGGGCGCGCTCCGCGGTGCGGTGCCCCACGGTGTTCACCAGCGTGTCTTTGAACCTGCAACACATCGGCTTGCTGGGGGCTCCCAGGGCGACCAGCTTGGCCCTGTGCCAGGGGAGTGCGGGCGCAGCCCCCAGCCTTACCAGAAGGGGGCGATGATGCCCAGCAGAGTCTCGTTCAGCCCCATGGCGTACTTGGGGTTGTCAGCCAGGACCCGGTAGTCGCAGGAGAGGGCCAACAGGCAGCCCCCAGCGGCGTTGACTCCCTGTGGGGGAAGAGACGCCACCTGGCTGTGCATGCTGTCCCCGTTGCGGGGTGTGGGGGTATCCCAGAGAGGCAGGTCCCAGGGAAGATCCACCCCCCCCAACCCCCCAGCCCACAGTGCTGTGCCCACAACGGCTGGGCTGGGCGGGCACGATGGGCCCTCGGGCTTGGCCAGCGGCTCTTGGGGCCAGAGAATCACTCTGCCCAGAACCCTCCTATCGGGGATGCAAGCTGCCTTTATTTTCATGGCTTTTTTTTTTTTTTTTTAAGATTTTATTTATCTATTTGACAGAGATCACAAGTAGGCAGAAAGGCAGGCAGAGAGAGAGGGGGAAGCAGGCTTCCTGCCAAGCAGAGAGCCTGATGCGGGGCTCGATCCCAGGACTCTGGGATCATGACCTGAGCCGAAGGCAGAGGCTTTAACCCACTGAGCCACCCAGGCGCCCTATTTTCATGGCTTTTGCTGGGATGCTAAAACACTAACAAGTACTTAGCCGAAGCGGCCATGACATGTCCCGCCACACAGGACCCATCTCCATCCCCAGCAGGACGTCCCAGGAACCCCAGACTTCCACTGCCCTGATCTCATGCACCCCACGGCCTCAGAGACAGCGAGTTGCTGCCCATTGTCCTGCACCCTGTGGAGTCTCCAGCTCGCCATCCTTCCCGTTCGCCAGCTCAGACCCTTTTGCACCTAACTGGACCCCCGTGTCGTCAGGCTCGCGGCTTCCTGAGCCTGAGCAGCCCCTGCCTTCCCCAGGCCAGGCCAAAGCCGTGTTTCCAAAGATGAATCTGATCCCGTCCTTGTGCCCCTGCCCTTGTCACCTGGTCATGCTGACCTGTGTGCCTCGGAGGGTCTCCCCCAGCCCCTGGTTAGTGAGCGAGGTGGCCAGGGTGCGGGGACACTCACGTTGATAGCTGAGATCACCACCAGATGGGACAGGTAGAACCGCAGCCACAGCTCCTGCACGGCCTTCCAGTACTCGGCGTAGTGCGTGGGGTCCCTCCCGCACATCTCCATCAGGTCCAGGCCGGCGGAGAAGATGCCGGGGCAGTCCTGGGGACGAAGGAGCCAGGGGCCCTGTCAGAGTCCATCCCCTGCCAGCAGCAGGTCCCCAGGGCCCACAGGCGCTCCAGAGGCGGTGGGGCCGAGGTCGTGTTCCCGAGGTGGCGAGCTGGGGCCTCGGGGCCCATGTTCTGATGGCCCCCAAGGTCGAGCCAGCTACAGATGGCAGGGCAGGCTGGGAGGGGCTGCTGTGACAACACAGCAAGGCAGGGAAGGGACCACGATGAACCAGGAAGCCAGACCTCTGCCCTGGGACACATGAGACAAATGCTGCGGAGTGGCCGAGAAGGCGTGGGTCCTGTGCAGCTGCCCTGGTGGTGACAAAGCCCCCAGAGCAGGGAGGAAAGCAAACGCGCACCAGCAGACGCAGCTGGGATAGGGGACGGCGGTGGTGCTTTCCAGCAAAGACCTGCTGGCCCAGAAGGTGGGGGTGGGGGTGGGGGGAGTAGGGTGACTGAGCAGTCATCATGGGAAAAGTGCACTCGTGGGGCTCCCCCCAAGTGGAGTCACAATGTCCCTGAACAAACAAGAACGAGACGCTCCCGTGGCCGTGGCCGGAGCTGGGGGGTCTAGGGGCCGGCATGCCCTGTCCCTGCTCCATGAACGGGCCAACGGCCACGTGTCTGTCTCCATGGAGTGAGGGGACAGGTGGAGTACCGGAGAGTCACAGGCACCGTCCCCGCATCCTCGTGCCAAGCGACAGGAGCAGGCTGCGTGCAGGGTGCTGGATGCGATTCCTTGTAGCCCCTGTGCTGCCCCTGGAAGCCACCCTCTCGGGTCCCCGGCTCATGTTTCGCCGCGGCCTGGCAAGGCCACACAGGTGTGGCTGCCTCTTGCCGACGTCCCTGTGCTGGGTCCTGCCCCGCCAAGGTCCCCGCCATAGCCCTGTGTCCCTGGCACGGCCTAGCCCCACGGAAGCTGGCCCACATCCTCGCGCTCGGGAAAAGTGAAGGTGAAGAGCGCCACTGCGGCCGCGACACAAGGCACTGTCGTCCTAGCGGGGGACGCGCTCTACACCCTGACCATGACGGTGAGACTTTGGAGACTCCGCCAACAGTCTCCGGTGGGCCCAACCGTGTCTTGGAAAAAGACGCAGACCCGCCTTTACCCCCAGGACCTACGAATGTGACTGTCCTCGGAAACACGGTCTCGGCCGCTGTGATCAACAGGCAGTCACAGGAGAGCGGGGGTCCTTCTAAGGGGAGGGACATTTGAACAGAGAGACAGGGCAGGAGAGCAGGAGGACAGGAGTCCCGGGACCCCCCAGCAGCTGGAGGAAGCGAAGAGGGAGCCCCAGGAGAGAATGCGCCACTGGGACTGTGCACCCAAGCCCGCGGCCCGCAGTTCCGTGTCCCCATAACCCCGCAGCAGCAGGCCTGTCGCAGGCCACCGCCTGTCGCGGGCCCACGGGACAGGCCCCTGCTCAGGACTCAGTGGACACACAGCCTAGAGCACAACGCTGACCCATTTGGGGGCAGAGCACGTGGGCTCCCGAGGGACGCAGGCCAGCACCATTCCCCACCCCAACTAGCTTGGCACCACCGCGAAGCCGGGGAAGCAGAGGGACGGACGCCTGTCTCTGCGGCACTCTCGGCCTCAGGGCACCAGAGAGAAAGCAGCACACTCTCAAACTACACCCTAAATGGAACATTTCCAGAAATCATTTGGAGCACAACATTCCCAGGCACGTGCACCGTGTCCAGGCAGGTCCACCGCAGCCGTCCCAGGCACCCCCGCTGGGAACCAGCACGGAGGAGCCCTCTCCTCCGCAGGCCAAGGCTCGGTAAACCCTGGCCCCTGGCTCCCAGCGGCGGTGCATCAGGACGCACGAGCCCTGCCCGTTCAGAGCGGTGACCGCTCCGGGCCACACCTGGCACAACCCCAGGGTTTAAGGGAAGCAGGTGCACGCCCGAGGACGCTCCCAGCCTTGGCTGCAAAGCTGGGGCCACCTGCCTTTCACAACGGCAGAGCCGAGACCTTCTCCCGGGGCTCTGTGACAGGGAGGCGCTTCTACTGGGGGACATGCACGTGCTGAGCAGCCGGCGCCCAAGCTTGGGCAGCTAACGAGAACCCACCGACGTGAGGATGATGGCATGGAAGGCCTTGTCGCTCTCCAGCTTCTCCAGGCTGATGAGCAGCTCGGTCAGGAACTCCAGGCTGAGGCTGTTCACGGGTGGGTTCCTCATCTTCATCACAGCGAACCCTAGTGTGAATGCGAAGCGGAGAGAGCTCACGCCAGTCCCAGAGGAGCACACCCATTCAGCCTGCACCCTCGGCCTGGCCACGGCCAGATCCACCCAACAGAGTTTCACCATTTAAAAGTGGACCACTCGGGTCGTTAGCGACCGGCAGTGCCGCACGACCACCACCATCTAGCTGCAGAGTGGGTCTATCCAGAAGAGAGGACACTGCGCCCATCAGTGGTCACCGACCCCTCCCCACCCCGGCTCCTTGCAGCCGATGGTTTCTGTGCCTACGGACTCATCTATCCTGGCCATCTCCTAGGAAGGGAAGCGTCCAATCTGTGAGCTCTCCTGTCTGGCTGCTTTCCCAGAGCACCGTGCTCTCAAGGCTGACCCGAGCCGCAGCGTGGGGACCCCACTCTGTGCATCCACGCATGGGCTGAGGGACACGTGGCTTGGTTCCGCCTTTTGGCTCTTGGGAACCACGCTGCTGTGAATGTTTGTGCACCAAGCTCTGCTCATCCTTTCCTGCCAGGTGCAAGTGCTCCATCCCTGGGAGGAGCAAACGGCCTGAGTTTCTTGGCATGGGGGGGGGGAGGTGAGTGAGCAAACTCTCAGACCAGGCGTGCAAGGAGGAACTCCCTCAGGGTGCTCTCGTTCACGCTTGTTTACAGACAGAGGCCACAAACATGGGTGGCCAGATGTGGAGCTGTCCCGGTGCACTCACTCGTCCGCTGGTGGCTGCTGGCTCCGCTGGCCGGGCCCCCGTGTGCTCACTGCCTGCCCGAAGACAGACCCCAAGGGCCACAGAAAGGCCACCGTTCACTCCTGACTGACGACTTAGTCCTGGAGGCAAATGGGCTCCCTGGAGGCCTCTGATGAGGAGTACTTCTTACTAACCGGCTCGTGGCACACCCGTGCGCACAGAAGCAGTAATCGGCGTGCCCAGAAGCAAGTTTCTGAACTGGGCTCAGAGCAGTTTCTGAGGCTCACTGGGTTTTTTCTTTCTGGAGAGTGCAGGAGTGTGGGCGGCGGTGGGGAGATGAGGAGGTGGGGAGGTGTGCGCATTCACAGCGTCTGGAGAAGACAAATCGGACTTCTCCACGCCTCCCTGGACGAGACAAACTGAAAGCAGAGGAGGAGGGCCTGGAACGCTGAGCCTGCTTCCAACAAGCTCCTCGGCTGAGCGCGGCCAGACTCCTACTGTGCCTCAAAGCTCCCATCCAGGCAGTGAATCGCGGCACCTGTGGCGGTCACGACCCTCATGACCTCCGGGCCCAGCACCCAGGCTCTCCCCCCACCTGCTGCCACACACCGCTGTCCCCATGGTTACAGCTACGTCCTCCTGCCAGGTGTGCGTTTAAGACTCACAGTAACACTGTGGACAGAGCTTGGCTCAAGACCCTTCCCCACTAGAGCGTCTGGTCCCCTCGCCCTCTCCTTCCTCCTGCTCTGGCGTCTGGGGTCATCTTTTCATTCGCTGTCTCTGGGTTTGCTGACCACACCCGACAGGAAAGGGCAGAGGGAGAGACTCCGTGCCCAGCATGGAGCCCAGTGCGGAGTGAGTCTAAGATCAGGGCCGGTGCTGAAATCCAGAGTTGGGCGCTTAACCACCAGGGCTTCTGGGGCATCCTGAGGCTGACTGGGTTTCCACAGGGCCTGCTCTAGCAGAATCGAGGCCACAGAGGAAAGGTAAATAGGCCAAAGGTGAACATGCGTTAAGGAAGAGGACTTTGGGTGAACCTGGCTGTCCCAGGGTAAGCAGCCCCAACCCTGAGCCGAGGCAGAGAGAGGGGCTGAGGCTGCAGCTGGCGGCCGCCCCAGCCCCCAGCACCAGGCCTCTGTCAAAAGCCCGAGGCCTTACGCCGGGTCGCCGCGCCCTAACTGTGCCCGAGGACAGGACTTTTCACGCCCCAGCATGGGAGCCTTCTTCCTTAGAGGAAACCTAAGTTTCTCTCTGAACGGTGCTTTTTCTACCTTCTCTATCCCCGCTGCAGGTTTAAGAGCTGCTCTGATGGGAGCCAGGGGTGGGTGAGCAGGGACTGCACTGGGGCCTCTGGCTTTCTTTAGTAAAACGGCTGTTAGGCTCTGAGCCATGGTGAGGGTTAAGGAAAAAACACTAAAATATTTTATTCCAGAATGCTGCCAATTCTTTTCTTTTTTTCTTTTTTAGATCTTATTTGACACAGAGAGAGGGAGCATGAGCTGGGGGAGGGGCAGAGGGAGAAGCAGGCTCCCAAGGAGCCCGGAGGCTTACCTGGGGGCACCGATTCCGGACGCTGGGAATACCAGCGGAGCAGAAGGCAGATGCTGAACCTGGGCCACCCAGGCGCCCTCCAGTTTCCAATTCAATAGTTTAGATAAAGGGACACAGCCATCAAACTTCACAAACCGAAGCCTTCTGAACTTCACAGTGACTTGGGGGGGGGGTCAGTCCGGGGGGCGCAGGGCCCTAGCTCCCCCCCACCCCCCCCGCCCCGGGGCCAGCCCCGCGGGGGGTCGGCTTGGGATTCGCGCCCCCCCCCCGCCCCCCCGCACGTGCACACGCCCTAACTAAAATGGACAAAAACGGGGGGAAGCCGCAGGTAAACCACCTACACTGAGGTCCCTCAAGATCCGAATGCAACAGAAATGTGCTCAGCACCGGGTTGTATCGCGGCCCGTGGGCGTCCGGAGGCCCCCGGGGTGCCCGGGAAGCTGCGGGAGGCTGCGCCGCGCTGGCCCGGACCTGCGGCCCCGGGCGCGCTTACCTGCCGCCGGGTCAGGCTCCACCAGCACCCGCGGGCTCCCGAAGCACCGCACGCCGTCCCCGCCGCCGGCCGCCGGCTCCGTCCGCCCGCGGGCCGGCCCGGGGACCCGGACCCCTGCGAACGACAGCGTGAGGCCTGTTAGCCTCGCCGCCCTCTGGCCGCGACCCGCACCCCCGAACGCCGGGCCTCCTCCCTGTCCCCGAGCCCCTCCCCCGCCCACCGACACCCCCCCCCACCCCGGCCGCCCCCCTAAGTCACGCACAGGGTCGCAGCAGGGAACGCGTCAGGCCCCTTATCCCCACCGCCAGCGCCATCTTGACCCGCCCGGTTGGGGTCGCAGCCCGCCCGGGTCCACGCCTAGCGTCGCCCTTGCGCCCGCCCCTCCCAGGAGCCCTGTGCCCGCAGCCCCGCCCCACTTGGCTCGCAGGATGTCAAGGTCGGAACGGCCTCACTAGGCTCCCAGGATTTCAAGGTCGCAACCCTCCTCTGACCCCATGGTCCGGGAGCGGGTGTGGGCCAGGCTATTCTCCACACCAGCTGGCGGACGCGGTGCTGCGCCTCAGTGGCACATCGGGAAGTGAGCTCACTTCCTGGGCTGTCGAGGCTAAGATCAAGCCCGGGGGCAGCACTGCTGAGACCGCGGCTGGCCGCACGGAGTCCCCGAGAGGTTTGTGAGCTTAGGCAGCGACAAGGGCCTTTGCGGAAGTCCCAGCTACTGAGCAGCAAAGGCAACCAGAGGACACCAAGGCTGTTGTTGGGGCACTAAGCCGCGGGGCTTCTGGGGGCTGCCTCAAGTACTTGGGGAGGGGGCAGAGTCATCAAGCTGGTGGTCGCGGCAGGCGTGGGGGACTAAGAGCTGCCCATCCACCTCCCTCTTCCGAAGCTGGGCAGCAGGTGCCCACACACTCCTGGCCGGACTGCAGTGCCCTCCCGCCACAGGAGAGCAAAGGGAACATGATGTTTATTTGCTCCATCCTTCAAGGAGACCCTGGCAGGGTCCCAAGAAACACAGGTGACCCCTGGCCTGGTGGCAGGATGAGCTGGGAGGAGCAGGCGGCCTGTGTGCTACCTCACAGGACACGGCCTTGCTCCAACCATCCACTCTGCACAGAGTGACTGAGACTTTAGTTTTTAACATCTGAAGAGTTTCCACATCTTCTTTGAAAGCACAGGAGCGTGGCTGAGTGGCAGCACACCACGGTCTGCGTGTCCGTTCCGCAGAGCTCAGAGCTCCTGGGAGCACACAGGCGACGCACTCTCGTGCTCCGTGTCTCGTGCAGCAGTGGCCCGGCGCCCCACACAGCTGGCCTGTCCGGCCTGGCGGTGTGACTCTGGAACCAAACTAGAACGTAGTCATGTGTGGTCACTCGCCTCGCAGCTGAAGCTGTCTCCGCAGCCGTGGATGAAAGAGGCGGTGAAGCCAGGACTCCTCTGTACTCTAATCCTGTTTATTCAACACAATCCCTTCACTCTACACAACAAAGTACAAACACAACAGCGCCTAAAATGCTACAAGTTACAAAACTCGAAACAACAAATTTATAGTACTGACTGTACAATAAAAGCCAAAAAAAGTAATGTACATGTTGCCAACGTAACCCGCAAGACCACCGTTAAGAGCTGCGGCGGGGGGAGGGGTCTGTGACGACAGAGAAAGAGAGATGAGGGGGTGTGGCGGTGTGCGTGAGGACACGTGGACACAGAAGCATCTCTGGGAACTAACACGGGCTGGTGGACCCTAGGTGTCGGACGAGGACCTGAGCAGGGGAGCAGGAGCAGCAGCTGCACCCAAGCGCGGCCTTTCCCGAGCGAGCCTGCAGACCACCACCTGAGGGCAGGACCAGGCCCCCAGCCCAAGCTCCAGGCATTTGTGGGAATAAAACAGGTGCCCCACGCCCAGGCTGGAGCCTCGCTACCACCTGCAGCCCTGCTTTGTCCCTGCTGGCGTGGCCACCGGAGGGACTCTCTTAAGAACGGGAAACAGGGGAGCTTCCTAGCCAGAAACTGGAGGGCATTCTTATAGGCACGACCCGAACCGCCGACGCTCCCCCCGGGAGTCTGCGTCAGAGGAGCCGTCTCAGCTGCTGTCTCCGAAGCCCGCCCTGAGTGAGGAATTTCTTTCCTACCAACCCTCCTCTGGCTAGAGAAGTGACAAAACAAGTGGATGGGATCGAAGTCACAGGGCGCAGAGCTCCGGGGGCCCTGCTTATCGGGAGGAGTTGGAGCTGGAGCGGCTCCTGTGGCGGCGGCGGCCAGGGGAGCGAGATCGCCGGCGCACAGGGGACCTGCGCCTCGGGGAGCGGGACCTGCGGGAAGAGGAAAGACCACATGAGACACGGAGGCCAATGTCCCGGACAGCAGGGGCAAAGCTGGCTTTTTGAAGAAACAATCCTGTAAGGTTTCACATTTCCATGCTGAGAGTCAGGACGGCTCTCTTGATGGCACCGACACCGAGCCGCTGGGAAGGAACAGGGTGTGTGCTGTGGAGACCCCTTTCCTGACCCTTCCTATGTGTGTGTGTGTTTTAATGTTTGCTTATTTAAGTAATTTCTATACCAAATGTGGGGCTTGAACCCGCAACCCCAGAACCAAGCATCCCACGCTTCTCCGACTGAGCCAGCCGTGCACCCTACCCTTCCTGTCTTCTTAGCTAGGGAGGGGAAGAGGAACTGCACTCCAGGGACTACTGGTGTGACATGCAGGGCTGGCCTGCCCCTCCCTCCAGCGGCAGCCCTGCTCCCCCTTCCCCCACTGGGATGGACAGCATGAGCCCCGCATGGAGCACGGGGGTGGGCAGGGCTGAGTGAGGTCTACCTCACCATCACAGTGTTTGAAAATGAACAAGTCTACACCGGCCCCAAGCAATGCCCTGTAGGACTCCAAACCGACCCACCTTCTTCTCATCCGCGGGGGTGACCGACGCCACATGGGAGGTGGTGGCAGCATTCTCCTAGGAGGGCTGAATCGCCGGGGGGGTGGCCTAGGCCAGGGGGCCAGCACAGCGGTGGCAGTGATCTCCTGGCCATCTATTTGTCCTGTTGAAAAAGGGATCAAGTCACACAATATCAGACAAGCCCCTACAGCCTAGGCCAGCCCGTGCCAGCTGTGGGCCTAGCGTGGTAAGCAAGGACAGGGGAACGAAACTCGTCACAGAAATATGACAGTTACTACTACCGGAGGTTCCATCAGGAAGTCTGCAGGGGAGCACGGACCCTCACTGGGAACTCCACCTGGATGCCCAAGGCACCTGATGCACAACCACCTCCAAGAGGAAGCAGCACCTAAGGGAATACCCGAATCCATCCAATGAGGGGAGGACTGTGCCCTGACCCTGAACTTAATCCTCCAGAACAATGGGAGGGGACCAGCAAGGGGAGTGGGGACATTCTGGGGGCTCCGCAGGACTGAGACGGGGGGTGAAGTTTAAGAACTCAAAAAAGATTGCCCTTGAAGAGGTAGCCTCCAACCAGGTAGCCTGGTCCTCTCTTGTGCTGTAAAAGCCCCCTCACCTGGTACCTCCCAGGAGACGAGGGTGCTGGGCCCCCACGAGGGCACCGTAACTAGGCCACCACACCACAAGAGCTTGGCGGTGGAGGCAGGGGCAGGGATGAGCGGCACCCACATTTCTGCACGAGCTATGAACGTATCATAGCTCAGGAGGAAGCAAAGACTTCTGGGGGTGCGGAAACAAAATAAAACGGTTGAACTGTCAAGTCTGTCTTAAAGGTTTGGAAAAAGTGCCTCAGACCAAAAAACAAGGCGTGTGAATGCAACTGAAGGAGAATAGTGAGGACGGAAGCCGGAGAATCTTTGGGGCCTCAGAAAAAGAAAGAGCGAAGAAAGGCAAGGGCAGACCTAGGAACCCCAGGGGAGCACGCACACTAACCCCAGTCCAGGGACTGCTCAGGGCACCGAGCACAGGCCCGTGTGCCTCTAAAGGGCGGAGGGTTCTTTTATCTTCTCAATTCCTACTGTCAAGGAGATAGCAAAGGTATTGAGGGAATAACTTAGGCATGTGAACCTGTGTTCAGAACACACTCAAAAGACTTAACTAAATGCAGCCTAACACCCCCCACGGGGGGGCGCAGCGCCCTGGCCCACAGCCAAAGCCAGCCCAAATCGGGAACTTCACAGGCACTGACCATCCGCGGTGAGGACCAATCTGGCCAGCGCCTCCACTCACGGTGCGCAGCACATAGTGGACACGTACTCGAGGCCTACCGGAGGCTTAAAATATGTGGAATATGTACCACTGTGCACAGCCTGCACGTGGCCAGCGTCCCTGGGTTTTTAGCAAGTGCTCGAACTCTGAAAGATGTGTGACTGAAGATCTCCAAAACGAAGGTGTGACTCACAAGGTCAAGAACTGCTGTGTGGAGCCCGGGGGGCCACAGTGTATGTAAGTCGACTGAAAGAGAGTTAGCTTAGTGGAAGTGACGTGTCCTAACATCCACCTCTACCAAGGCTCGAGGGCAGCTACCCATCGAACTGCGGCGCTTGTTCTGCGTGTGTAATGGGACCTCCAAGGTTCTGGGGCGCTCAGACCCTCCTCCCTAGGTGGCCTGGCAGCCCACAGCGTGCTCCAGGCAGTCCTGGCTCTTGGCCCTGGTTGTCCAGATTACACCAGCAGCAAGCTGGGACAGAGACAAGTTCCAAGCTCCTTAAAACACTGACTTGAAGACGAAACAAGTGGCCGTCCAAAACTACTCACGGGTGCTCAGGTGCGGTACAACCATTCTGCAGCCGACAGAACAGCTTCAAGTGTCACCAACAGTTAAGATACAAGCTTTAAGGAAATGGGTAAAATGTGTGGATCCAACAAAGTAATCTTAAAAATGCTGAAATGTTGGTACAATAGAAAACGACTCTCCGAGAAAATGGAAGGAAACACTCCTGTATAAAAAGCCAAATGCTTCATTACTCACTCATAATGCAGTCTTTATTAAAAAACAAAGCAAAACAAAAAACCCCTTCATTTCATCCTTAAGCTTTCACAGATTGGAAAACTCTCAAAAATGCTAATGTATTCATATCTGCTGATCTTTTTCCAAGAACAATGTCCCATAAAAATTGTTTTCCGTAAACACATACCCCCTGGTTAAGAACGGGAACCGAGAGAGCTCCAGGGAGAACGCAATGTGCCTCCAGGCTGCAAACCGGGTCTAAGGTCCCTGCACGTGGCTGGCAGCTGGTGCCGCACAGGGAGCAGAGACGGGAGCCGGCGGGGGGCCGGCAGGGTCACCCACCTCCGTCCATGTGCTTCAGTGCCTTCTCGGCCTCATCAGGGTTCTCGAACTCCACGTACGCGTAGCCTTTCGACAGGTGGGGATGCATCCTTTCTACAGGCATGTCGATCATTTTAATTTTCCCATAGGTGGAGAATATTTCCATGATGTGGTCCTAGAGGAAAGAAGGGTCACTCTGAGGCAGACCCACAACTGCCCCGTGGGAGCTGAGAAGTCCCCATACGACGACGATGCCTGGGCACCCAGGGTAGGTCTCTCTCACACAGAACAGCCCCGCTGAAGGAGTTACTGCTCCGCTCGACGCACCACATCCCGCCAGTCCTCTGAGAGCCTCTGTTCTCAGTTCACTTGTGGCTGAGGCCTGCTTCTCTAGCTTTCCATTTAAAATATCTGCAGAAGAGACACGCCCTACTGTCCGCTGGGTGGAACCAGGACCCTCACTCACCTTGGTCACATTCCTGGTGAGCCTCCCTATGTGCACTTTGGTGGGCTTAGGGGAAGGACTCCGCCTTTTCCTTTCCTTCTCATCTCTCTTGGGTGGTTTGGATCTGATTGAAAAAACAAAATACCAGCAACGATTTGCCAAGTCAAAATTTCTGTTAGTGGGGCTGCTAACTGCCACGGTGAGTTTTTTACATGGAAGCTTTCTCTACCGGATCATGCATATTCATGTTACTTCTGCTTCAGGAAGCCTCCTCTCAACGTCTACTTTTAGAGCAACTGTAATGTTATAGTCCTCTGTTTGCAAACTTAAGTAAGTTCACAGATAATTCACAAATTTGGGAGCAATCCCCCCCAAACCGAGGCACTCCCAAGGGAGCTTACTTGGAGCGGGAACGCCTCCTGTTGTCGTGCCTGCGCCGAGAAGGGCTTGGCGAGCCAGAGGAGCTGCTGGAGCTGGAGCTGCGGGATGTGCTGGAACTTCCCGAGCGGCTCGACGCGGAAGAAGAGCTTGAGCCGCTGCTGGAGCCTGTGCTGGTGCTGGAGCCCGAGCTGGAGGTAGAGCTGGACCGAGACCTGACGAGCAAGACGCAGGTGTCATGGGCAACAGAGGATGGCAGCATTTCTTCCCACGAGACGAGCCTGCACATGCTCAGGCTTCTAAAAAGAGCCTGTCCTCCTATTTTCAAGCCTCAATGTCTCCCTCCTCAGGGAGAGGCGATGGTATCTACCCCCACAACCCCAGCCAAAACTCTAGGTGGGGACAGGAAACAGCATTCACACTGTGCAGTGACAGGAAAGGAAGGAGTGACTTCCTAGTGATCCAGAAGCCTTGCCTACTGGGAAGTATGGATACAGCCTGGCAGGTGGGAAGCGCCAACCCAGCCTGGAAGGGGGCTGCTGAGGGATTCCGGCTGTTTTTCTTTTCTTCTTCTTCTTCTTTTTTTTAAATTTTATTTATTTGACAGAGATCACAAGTTGGCAGAGAAGCAGGCAGAGAGAGGGAGGAAGGGAAGCAGGCTCCCTGCTGAGCAGAGAGCCCGATGCGGGGGATGGATCCCAGGACCCTGAGATCATGACCCAAGCTGAAGGCAGAGGCTTAACTCACTGAGCCACCCAGGCGCCCCCGCTGGTTTTCAACGTTAATAAAAATAAGCTTTAGGCTAAGGTAATCCAATCATGAGTGTGAATGAAAAAGTACTTGAGAGAAACATATACCCAAAACGTCCCCTTCTTTAACAAGCACCACTTTCCACAGACAACAAGGGCAGACCCAAACTGGTCTGGCGTAATTTGGGCCTTGATTAACAAGCTTGAAGTGTTTTCTTATAAACAGTGAGGCCACAGAGCACCCTGCGCAGCCCTTTGGCAAGGAAATGGGCACAGCCACAGGAGAGGGGCCGGCTGGGTGCCCCGCCCTGCCTGCTCCCACCTGGTGCTGCTGCTCCCGCTGGACGCACTGCGCCTCTTCCGAGTCTTATCCCGGCCGCGGTCCTTCTCGCTGGACTCCTTGGTGGCCCCTTTATCTTTCGCACGATCCTTGGACTTCTCATCAGAGCGGTCTTTGCGTTTGGTAGGAGAAGGAGCCCTGGATGGCGAAGGAAGAGTGTGAGACTGCATGCCCCTCTGGCCAAACCCGGAGACAACACTACCCAAAACAGGGGATCCCAAGGGCTACCGAGATCCCAGGGGATCACAGAGCAAAATGGTCTGTGGCTTAGGACACGTCACTGTAACATGTAAGACATTTCCGCTCTTCCCCTTTCTAAGGGTCCCTAGTCATGAGCACCCCCAAAGTAGCACTAGAAAAGTCTGACAGAAGGATTACCTAGTGCTGGACTTTTTATTATTTTCTTTGACTCCTAGCAAGCTCTTCTTTTTCACTCCTGATAAATCCATTCTCCCCTTCTGACGTGTTCAAAGCAGCAATGGTGGCCTCACTTATCTGAACTCTCACTTCTAACTCGAGTCTGAGAAACGATCCCTAATCGATTGCAATTTACGCCAAAGTGCAGCCTAATAACAAGATAAAAGGATTTACAGAGTGAACGAGTTGGCAAGGCAACAATCCACTTTGCAGTCAAAAGGTGAGCACACGAGAAGATGGCAGGGAACACAGGGAGCAGCGAGCGTCCACAAAGCCAGGAACATACAGGGACCGCTTCCAATTCCTTGGGGACTGCCCCCCCCAAGTAGACCCTCCCCTCACCTCGTGGTCTTTTCCTTAAGGAAGCGGTGGCGGTGCCTGTCACTGTTAGGTTACAGGGGGCATACTACCTGTTTTTCTCTCCTAATTTGATAAGCCCTCTACGATCCCCTTAGAAATACTGCAACACCAACATTTGCATGCAGAAGAGAAAAAAAGCCAAGCTTGGCTCTCCTGCTAGGATTACTGGTGTGGTCAGATCTCTTGTTCTAGTTCCTTGTAGGACATACTGGATATATGATGACTGGAAGCAAAACCCATTTCAAAAGTGACAGGTACCAGCATCAAAACATTTAACACCCAAATGCCAGCAGACAAAATGTCCCATACGAACACTGAAAAAGCAGTAAAATAGTTAAGTTAGAAAGCAGTCAATGCCCATGTTGAGCTGCATATGGAAGTGTTATGGGAAAAATACGTCCAAGTCTGCTGTTTCCTTCAAAACGCAACAGAAACGTACTGGTGGGTGGTTTGGTACAGGATAAAGCAAATACGGCAGAAACGTGACTTGTAGGATCTTGGTGGTGGTTATGCAGGGGTCCACTGTGCAATTCTTTTGACCTTTCTGTATGTTTACACTGTTACCCCCAAATAAAGTGTGCGTGTGAGTGTGTGTGTGTGAGGTGGCACTGGAGTCCGAGGACACAGCTCCTAAGGTCTAACGGAGCACCCACACTGCGGCACGTGCTTCGTAATATGACTTGAGACAAACTGCTAGTCTGCTCTGTGCCTTGTTTCCTGGGGGGTCTTCGACCGTCAGCATCTCCAGTGAGGTTTACTAGTCTGCCTGGGCTACAGGCAAAGACCCCGGGAGGCTGTGTCGACCACTTCTACCTCGTTTTCCTCGACAGCCTGTACGTAACACAGACAATCGAGCGCCTGGGATCCTGTTTCCCCAGGGGTAAGGGTGCCCAGAATGCTGAAGAAGGTGGTGACTCAAGAAGGCAGGCCAGCTCTGGGCGATCTAATGAGAGCAGAAGCAAGCAGAGAGTCCCCTCTGCTGCTCTTCCCCGGGGGGCCGGGGGGAATGTTTAATGTTTAAATGTTTAATGTTTAAATGTTCTGCCTTAAAACAGGAAGGTCCGACAGGTACTGAGCAACACTGGACGGACGAGGTCAGTGGCCTTGGACAACGAGGGAGTACAGTTCAGGGTAGGAATCCGTGGACTCTGCCTGCCTGTCTGTCTGATCCGAAGCTCTGCTGTGCGACCTGGGGTAAGTCACAGAACCCTTCTGAGCCCCCCTCCTCCTGAGCGTTACAGGGACAACTGCAGCTCCCATATGTCCTCCGTTACCCAACCCGGCTCCCGGTTACGGCTTGTGTCAAAAGAAAGGGAGGCTTTCCCCGCACACAAACGCTTGTGTCCCAAGTCCTGCACGACCTCCTGAGTGCTCACCCAGTGCAGCACTGTCCCCGGGAACAGCGCAAGCCACAGCACATCCCGAATGTCCCAGGAGCCACGGAGCGCACGGAGGCTAAGGGATGCGGCTGGGGCTCGGTGAAGATCTGCCCACCCATGGGCCCCAGGTCATCTCGTCCACCGCCAACCAGGGCAGACACTCACCCCTCCGCCCCGCACCAGGCCCTTCCAACACCCGCGTGGGGCATGGACATCGCCGCGGGCCGGTAGGCGTCCGGCACGGACGCGCGGGACACACTCCCGGGCCCCACCCCGCGCCCCACGGCCCCCCGCGCCCACGAGCACCACCGGGATGCGCCAACCCTACGCGTCAAGGAGCACAGGGCGAGCGGGCTTTGCCGGGCGTGGCCGCGTGCTAGACCGCAGAGACCCAGGCGCTGTTCGCACAAGCTCGGGTCACCGCACCGGGCCTCGGTCACCGCCCCCATCCTCCGGAAAGGTGCGCGTCCGACAGCCGGAGAGAGAGAGAACAGTTAGTTACACGTCCAGCCGGCGGCGCTCCGGCCCCCCCCCCCCCGCGGCAGAGCACTTCCCCGCTTCCGAGCGCGTTTTCCGCACCAGCCGTGCGAACGGAGAGGGAACGGCCGCGTCCCCGGGGCTCGCCCGGGCCACGGCACGGTCCTCCACCGCACCCCACAAAGCATCTCAGCCCCGCCGCCCCCGTCCGCGTTCACTCACAACTCCCCCGTCCAGGCGCCGGGCCTGGCGTGGCGGGCCCGGGTCTCCACGCCGTCCGCAAAGCCCCGAAGGCGGACGCCGCGCTCCCGGCTGCTCCGAGTCCCGCGGGCCTAGCCGGGCGCGCCGCAGAGGGGGGACGGTCTGAGGCGCCCTTCCGCCCGCCGCGGCCCCGACCACTTCCGGGCCGCGGCCTCGGCGCCTCCCACTCCGCCCGCCCCGGGCCACACTCTTTCTTCTCACAGCCGCGGCCGCGCCGCTAGGCTGCCGGGCCTACCGAGAGGCCGAGGAGCGGGCCGGCTCCAACCACGCGCCCCGCCGAGCTTTGCGGGCGGCCCCCGAAGCTCGGATGGGGTCGGATTCCCCCAACTTACATCTTCCCGCCGCCGCAACCTCCTCCCGCAGTCCTCAGCCGCTAAGGCCGGCGCCGCTCTGGCGTCAGGATTCGGGAGCGGGAAGGCGCCGCTGTCGGGCGCGCGGCGATGACGTAAAGCGCCTCAGCCAATGGGAGCGAGCGAGAGGAGTGTTAAAGGGCCAGGGCCGTTTCTGGCGAGCCGTGTCGGGGACTCTTCCTCTACCTACCTCGCTGGGGACATATCTGGGGCTACCCGGGGCTGAGTGCGTGCTTCATGGGGCCGGCAGATGGTTGGCTGGCCACGTTCCGAAGGGCCACGCCGCGCGGACAGCTCCCGGGCCGGCGCGGAGGGAGTTAACGCAGCCGCGGCCCCGCCCCACCCGTTGCGCTTGCGCACTGCCTCGCAGCCGCTGTCCTCGCCACAGTGCGCGCGGGGCGGCTGGGCCGGCGGGGCTTACCGGGTGCGGCGGCCTCTGGTGGCCGGTTTGGGGTCCCGCAGGGCGCAAGGCGGCTCAGGGGCCGGGCGGGTGCAGGGACGGGTTGATGAGGTCAAAAACCCCACCGAGGTGTGCGGACTGCCGGTGCTCGGCCGAGTCCTGAGCCTGGACAGGGACCCGTGCGGCTGAGACCCGAGTAGAAGGGGGCGTCGGGCAGAGGGAATGGCGGGTGCAGCGGCGCCGAGGCCGGTCGGAAGAAGCGTGGGGAGGCCGGGGCGGGGGGCGGCTCGCAGGCCAGGGCGGTGCTAGGGCAGCATCCCGTGCGAGGCGTCACCCCCCTGGCCGGCAGACCGTGCAGTCAGGGAGGCCGACTCTTCTGGCAAAGTAGTGGCCCCGAGCCCAGGCAGGGGGCTGGGGAGAGTAAATCCCGGCGCCGAGAGGGCCAGAGCTTTCGGATTTTGTTCACCGAGGTGTCCCCGCCCGTGTCTGGCGAGCGGTCGTTACTCGGTGGCTCAGTGGAAGGAAGGGGCACCCCGCCCCAGACGTAGTTTGAACAGGTAGGTGCATCCAGGAAGAGAAGCGAGCGTCTGGAGAGCGGATCTCTTTTGGAGGAAGGAAGCCTTGTGATTTGGAGATGGATTAGCTGCCAAGGGCAAGGACAGGAGTGTCCGGGTTGCCGCTTGGTGACCAGGGATGGAAGGATGGGGCTGCAGATGCTGTCTGCAGTATGCTTGCCTGAAGGGCCTTGACCCAGCAGAGCCTTTGCCCAGGGCGCACCAACGTGGTCGGGTGGGGAGGAAGCAGGCCAGTGACCCCACCATGGCGAGAGGGCGGTGGGGACACCACCAGCTGGGCTGACAACTGCCTGTGCTTTTAAAAAATGTGCTAAAGTGATATAACTTGGCACACATATAAATTTTAACACGTTTTATGTTAAATCTAAAGCATGATTTATTCAGACACAGAAGTTCAATCACATTTGTTTCTAAATATTATAAGTTTTTGTTATCAAGTGTGTTATCTGCTGTTGAATGTTAAAACTTGAGCATCTTGTCTTTTGGCATTTTGAAGATCAGCAGAATGTGTTTGGAAGAAACATAAGAAGTTAAAACTGGTGTCCCCCGGCCCCTGCCTTCCAGGAGTTCTGGCTTCCCCTTCTTTTACCCCTGTGCCAACCTACTAAGGCTCTGGGGGCTCAGGGCTGGGATGCTGGGTCCTTGGGGACCTTTGAAGGTCTTTGGTCCAGGTATGATGGCGGGGGTGGGGCAGGGCTCCTATAGACAGGGTGTCCGGCAGCCAGCCCCAGGCCTGGTTCTGCCAGTGTCCTGAGCCCCTCACTTCCCTCCCAGGGTTGAGGGCCACTTGTTGGCATGTGGGGCTGCTCTCACTTTTGAATCCCCTCTGCCTTCATTCTCTATGGGCCTGATGGTTTCTGCAGTGCCTCTCCTTGGAGGCTGGTCACCTGGGACACAGGGTTTAGTGGTAGCCTGGATTGTGCTGGAGGTCATGGTGGGCCGTCCAGGCCTTGCATTCCATTGTAAACCATGTCAAGAAGGCTCTTTTTTAATCTGTTGCTAATAGTCGCCACGCTAGGGGCAAGGTGGCCCTGCCAGGTGCAGTAGAGCCGAGCTGTTTGGGTGGGGTCAGAGAGCTGGTGATGGCTTGGTGACCTTGAGGGAGGCATTAGAAGAGGGGCTGGATCGCCAAGGCCTGGCCCCTTTCTGTGTGGTTGAGTGGGTTAGTGCCTGCCTCCCCTGGAGGAGCCCAGCAAGGGGCTCTGGCTGGTCCTTCTGGGTGGCCAGGCTGGGCCTTAAAGGGCCAGACCACCACTGAGCGTCTGGAGTTGTGGGGAGGCCTTTGCAGTTCTAGGCTTGTGTCTCCAAGGTGTGGGGTGTCCAGTCCTGAGCTCTGTTGTACTCTTCCTGCCGGCAGGCAACTCCGGACTCCCCCAGGCGCTCCTGAGCAGTGAGCTTGGGGGCTTGTGCTGGTTTTCATGCCCGAAGCCCTGTGTTCATTTCTGCCCCAGGGAAGTCAAGGATAGGGACACCGGAGCTGGGGGGGGGGGGGGGTCACGGGGGGGGGGGGGGGGCCCAGCCAGAGCTGGGTACAAAGCAGGCAGGCTGGAGTGCTGCAGGCCGGGGTGCAGTGAGGGTGTGTGGCGGCGTTCGCCGCAGCGAAGCCATCTTGGCCTCCAGCCCTGCTCCCAGGGCCTCTGTCGCGCCATCCACAGCCCGTTGACTTGGAGCGTCTCCAGCCTTGGAGGCATCTGACGCCAGCATCTGTGGGGCGTAGGCCGGGCCCAGGAGCGGGGCCTGAGCAACCCTGTGTGTTGAGGAAAGAAGGCAGGGCCCCCACTCCCCGGGCCGGACCCTGTATCTTCAGCTCCTCCTCGTGCCTGCTTGAGGCCCAGGCCATATGGTCCTATCCGGCAGGGATGGAACCCCAGGCCCTGACACCCTGCTTCCTGGTGCTCTCCTGAAGGGCTGTGGCGGCCGAGACCTCTGCCTTGTTGCCCCTTCTCGGGTAGCCTCTCGGCCCACCTGCCCTGAGTCCTCTTGTGCAGGAAAGCCAGTGGCTTTGCCCTCCTTTGGGAAAGGGAGTCGAACCTTCCAGGCTTTGGAGTGGACCTGAGCCGGGGTTGCTGGAAGGGGCCTCGTGTCTGGGGAGTGGGGTATCCTATGTGGCCTGCTGGCCTTCGCTGCGGGGTGGCGTGAGCAGCCTATCCTGACCTTGGTGTTTGGGGGACCTCTTAGGACTTCTGTGGACTGCCTCCTTGTTGCAGGAGCCGGTGGGGGTTAGCCCCTCTGGGCCCAGGTGGAGCCCAGGCTGTCTACCCAGGAATGCACCTGTGTGTGCAGGTGAGGCTCGGGCTTTTGGTGTGGCCACAGGCTCTGGGTGAGCCCAGGTGGCTCTCCCTTCACACTGACCAGTCTGCGTGGGACTGGGGCTCTCAGAGGACCCAGCTGGCTTACGGCATCAGTGTCATGCTGGTCCCCAGAAGGGAGCTGAAACGGCAGCTGGCGTGGTGTGCCTGTAGACACAGCAGCCAAGTTGCCCGGGCAGGCGGTGTGGCTGCCGGTCTCCCGGAACTCTCGCCTCTCGTCTCCGGGCTCCAGCCCTGCAGGCATCAGGTCTGGGGTGTCAGGACATTGCCATCCCTATGTGGTCAGGGAATTGACGAAGTTCAGCCTGGGCTCACGTGGGTCCGGGCCAGGCAGGCTGGGCCCGCTGGGGTGTGTTGGCATCCCCTGGCAGCTTGTGGCCACCTTCGGAGCAACCTTCCAGCCTTCCTTCCGGGTGCCGGCCTTGGCTCACGCCTCTGTCAGCCTTAGTCCTGTCAGCTGCTTCGTCGGACTGGGCTGAGGGTCCCCGAGACACGGCTGACCTCGGCTCCCCCTGGAGTCCTGCCCTGAATACCTGGGATTGGCGTTTGCCCGGCGGAACACTCCAGTTCGCCTGTGCCGTTGCAGCCAAAGGGCCCCGACACTCCTCGGGGGGCAGGGGTGGGTCACTTCCGCTGCGCTGTGGGGCTTCCTGAGTGAGGTGGGCGCTCAGCAGCTTGGGTGGGCAACAAGGGCATGTCAGGTGTCCGCCCCCGCCGGACGCCAGCCTGCGCACTGCAGTCCTGGTGGAGGCTGGTGGAGGTGGGATTGTGTCCCGGCTTCTGTCTGGGTTCCCCAGCTAAATACGAGATGGCGCGTCCCGGCTCCCTGCCCTTGGCGCAGCCACGCCTGTGTGTGGGCACATGGACAGCCCATGTGACTTCCAGGAGCTGCGCCCTCCTGCTGTTCCTGCTTTCTGCCAATTTCACCTGGAGCCTCGGGGACACCTTGACCCTGAGAAAGGACTTTGAGGAGGGAGCCTCCACCTGGACGGCGCAGATGGTGATGAAGTCTGCAAACCGCCTTCTCTGGACTTTGTACTTGGCAGAGAAATAAATACGTGTTTTTTCCTAAACCTGGGGCTGGGCCTTCTGGTGTGGGCCACCAGCCCGCCACAGCCTGCTTCCCACGGGAGCGGTTTCTGTGGCCAGGGTGGGGACCCCTCAACCCGCTGCCTACTGCCTGGTGATCCCCATGGGGAAGGCAGTGGAGGGGCTCAGCATCCAGCAGGATCTGCCCCCTCCTCCCTTGCCAGGCCACATTCCGTGCGCCACTGTCCTGCTGAGGGGCCGTCCCCAAGCCCACTATGTGTGGT